GTTTTTATATTATTTAATGTCATATTTAAATAGATTTATTTATCTACATATATTAAAAAGTTACAAAAAATAAGTTTCCATTAAATGTAATTATCATGTTATCTTTACTCATAAGTTATGTTATCAATTCTAGAATTATATGTCTTTTTTTTTTAATGAAAGTGATTATAGAGATGACATGTGTCAAATCATTTTTCAAATAATATCTAAGAGATCTAGATTAACTATAGATGATGATTTACTAGTTCTTTTAAATTATAATTAATATATTCATTAATGATATCAATGCATTAACCGTTTCTACTTTTAACCTGAGAGTTCAAAAACGAAAATAATCACATATATGAACATAATTATAGTACATTCACTATATATTTACGTTCAGAATAACATTTTTAGCCATCAATAACTTTGAATTAATGATGATTAATATCATATAAATTAGCCCAAAAATAAATAAATGGAGAACATGTTTTTGAAAAGAAAGAAGAGAAGATAATTTCATGTTTTATTTTGTGTTTATGTACAACTTTCTTTTCTATTCGTTATTTTCTGTAATTAGCATTATATGTACATAGATATATATATACAAAAATATTTATATTTACTATTATAATAAAATATGTAATATATATTTATAAAAAACTTGGTTTATTGTATTGTAAAAATGATATATCATGTATATATTTATTTTTCTTAAATTCTTCTATTTAATTTATTTAATATTAAAAATACTAAAAATATGTATATAAGAAATAACAATAAATTTGAATTATATTTGTTTGTCAACATGTTTTTGTGTTGGTATATTTCTTTTTTATTTTATTATTATTCAGTTTAAGAAATATTTATATATTTCATTATTAAATTGATAATAAATAAATATTATAAAAGTATCTCAAATAAATAAATAAATATAAAATATTGAAAATGGATATTTTCAGTATGTACTTTGTGTTTATCTACCTGTTTCTTTTTATTGAAGATTCTATAAATAATATTATATATATAGTGTTGTCCAAAAAATATTAATATATATATACATAGAATTATTAGTTTTATCACTATACTAAAATATTAAAATATCTTTATAAAGAATAACTATAAATTTGAATTATATTTGTTTGCAAACGTGATATCATGGTAGATTTTTTAATTATTATATTGATTTTAATATTAAAATTTAAACAGGTATATAAGAAATAACAATAAATTGGATTTATATTTGTTTTTGTGCTGGTATATTTTATTTTATTTTATTGTTATTAAGTTTAATAAATTATGTTATAATTCATTATATAACTGATCTTAAACTAATATTATAGAAAAGTATCTAAAAAAAAAATAGAAAACGTTGAATAAAAATGATAATTCAATCTGTTTTATTTTGTGTATATCTACATGTTTATATTTATTGATTTTCTATTATTAGTATTATATATATACATAGACTATATATACATAGAATTACATTTATGCTTTTACTAAAATATAAAATAGCTTTTAAAGTAACTATAAATTTGATTTACATTGTTTGTAAACGTGATATATATCATCGTATATTATTTTATATAAATTATTATATTTATTTAATTAAAATTTTTTAAAATAGTATATAAGCAATACAATAAATATTATTTATATTTGTTTATTTAATATTCTTGTGCTTTAGATTTTTATCGGGATTTTGTAGGTTTTCGTAATTCCAAGAATTTGATTTAATAACATCATTGTATATTGAAGTATATATTTATTTATTTGATTAGATAATTAATTATAAATTATTATAATAAAAACTTTCTAAATAAATAGTGAATAAAGTGAATAAAAAAGATAATAGTGTTATTATAGAAATATTAGTTTTTCAGTAAAACAACAGTATAAATTTGATTTCAATTTTAAAACACAAACACTAACTTATCATATTGGTTTTAAATTAATAATACATGTGCTAATAAATACTTATAAGATAATTATATCTGTATATGCGAGCAAAACATTTGGTATAAACATATTTTTAGTATATTTATATTATAACTGATATAAAATTACATATATTTAAAAATAGGGACTTTAACAATTAAAAATAAAATAAAAACATTGAACTGGACTTGGGTCTGTTGCACTGTTTGTTTCCACCTAAGCCGCCTGAAAATATGAATAATTTGGTGCTGAATATAATAGAACAGTGGACAGTCTAGAAACTTTTTTATTACCAAATAAGAAGTGATCTTAATCCAACTAAACAAGGTTTGATATTTGAAAGCAGTATCAAAGGATGGAATCAACTGAAGGGATGAAGAGTTTTAGCTTGAGACTTATCTAGTGAGAAAAGAAATTTCACTAGATAATTTCACTAGAAATTTCACTAGATAATTTCTTTCCTCACTAGATATCTAGTGAAAAAAGAAATTTCACTAAAAAAAAAGAAGAAGAAATTTCACTAATGAACATGATAATCTATTTGGAGAAAAAGCGTAAATGCAATGCTCTAGCGTATGACTAAAATCTTCAGAAATAAATCAGCATATGTAAAACCATTGCATATGTTGATTTCATGTGTACACTTTGTCTGTGTGAATGTATAATTATTAGGAGGGTGCTATTGGGAGGAGGTTTGAACCACAAAGCTTATAGTCCGATTATAGCTTCTCTGTCTTTCATAACTATTTGGTTTAGATAACATACTTGAAAAAAGAACAACATCTATTGTGAAAACTATTTTTGGAGATGAATTAATTTAACATTGTTTTGGAGATAAAATAAAGGAAAATTGTCATTTAAATCATTAACTTTCATATTTGATTGAAATAAAGCACCAATTTTCTCGTAAGCCAAAAAAATATCCAATTTTTGTTGGTAAGCCATTTTAATCACAAATATTCGTATACCATACCAATTTAATCATATCGTTAGTCAACAGTTATAGTTGACTAATAGTAGGCTTAAAATGGCTTTCAAAGTTGATGTTTTTTGGCACAAATATAAATCAATATTTTTCTAAATATTAAAAAATATTTTTATAACTGAAGCACTAATAAATAAAATTATAAATTAAAAAAAAATTCCAATCAAATATATAAATAGAACTCAATGTAAAATAATTATTTAACATATCATTAATTGAGTATCTTATTTATAAAATGATAAGAATATTTTAATTAATTACAATTAATTTTGTAAATATTTATCTAATCCTATTTGAGTTTTGTTTTATAATTTTATTTTTAAAAGTTTGTTGATGGAATATAATTCAACTCTTGATTCTTAAATGAAAAGAGTTATCGTTAATGAAATTTTTATGATTATTTATATTTATAATAAAGATATTCAAACAAATATATATAATTTCTACAAAATTTTTACAAGATTTTTTCTACATTTAAAAAAAAAAAATAAGTTTTAGTTTCACCAAAATCGATTAAAATTATATAAATATTTTTAAAAATTAATCGTAAATAATTTAAAAAAAAATCATAATCATTTTTAACTAAATTATTCAATTAAGGATATGTTAATTAATTATTTTACATTGAGTTATGTTTATATTTTTGGTTGGAATTTATTTTTTAATTACATTTTTATTTATTTGTGTTATAGTTATTAAAAGTTTCAATATTTAAAATCCAATATTTTGAAAAAGGTTGATTTGTATTTGTGTCAAAAAAAAACATCAACTATAACTGTTGACTAACGATATGACTAAATTGGTATAGTTGACTAAAGTTTGTAATTAAAATGGCTTGTCAATAAAAGTTGAGTGGCTTTTTGGCTTATGAGAAAGTTTATGTTTTATTATAACCAAATTTGAAAATTGGTGATTTAAATGACAATTTTCTGATAAAATAATGTGTGATATTTAGAGGTTTGAATATGAAAAGTTGTATGTGCATAAAATTCTTATTTTACGATGATGATGAAAAAACATAAAATGACATTTTTGTTAACCTCTAAATCACTATCATTAAACTTCCCTCTATTATTAAACTTCCCACTATCACTTGATCATTATTTGACGAGCACAAATGCTTTCTAATTTTTATTACATTAACTTTATCCTTCTTATCAGTACCGAGTTGGATAAAAAAAATTATTTAGTTTTTTTTTTTTTGACATAGAACAACTATTCATTTTATTTAGTTTAAGTTCGTAAAAAGTCGGTTGTATTGCTAAAGTTGCAAGTTATTAAAGTAAAAATTCAGCTGTAAGAATACATAGGAAAAAATAGTTAGGTATATCCTTTGATTTCCTTCCTAACTAAGATTTATTTCTATTAATATGTAAATATATGTATAACATCTAAAGTACCTCTCAGTCACATATTTTTTTTTACTATTTACTTTAAGAGATTAACTAAAGTTTGATTTGTGCGATTATTTTTTTTAAATTAATTTTTTGTTTTGTACAAAATAATAACTTATATTTTTACATATATATATATATATTAAATAATTTCCTAAATATCTTATTTCTAAATACACGTTTTCACTGTATCACCCATATTTTTTATCATATATGAAAACTGTAAATGTAAAAAACATCCACATGTCAAAAACCATAATCAAAATATAAATATGAAGTTAGATTCATTACTATAACAATATGCTAGATTTTTATGTGTCTTTAATTAATTTGTTTTATCTCATTGTAATTAACTACATCAAATATAAATATATGTATCTCTCTTTTATTTTACATAGTAAGATCATTAATACATTTGGAGTTTCCTATTAACTATATTAATTTTATATGTGATTAAATTTTAATATAAACAACAATACTACTCATAAAATGACAAATGTTATAGTGGTTTATTGTGTGAGGATACGTTTCTCATCATTTCTTGTCTTTTCTCTCATACTTTTTCTCACATTCACATTTTTGTCACCTATAATAATGCTCTAGGGTCTCTTAAATAAAAAATCAGCCTCTCTTTGTTTTGTGTTCATCTTCATCAAAAACACATCTGCTTCTTAGTGATCCAATCGATGGATAGATCAATGTCATCCACAAAGGGAGAAATGGTGCATGTCGAGGTGGTCAATACTGATGATTGGATTAGTAAACTCTCAGACGATCTCTTGCTTGAGATCTTATCAAAACTGTCGACCAAAGAAGTCATTATGACAAGTGTTTTATCGAAAAGATGGGTGAATGTGTGGAAGAAGACGTCTCAACTCTGTTTGGACATGCGAACGATCGCAAAAACCACAACTCTTTTGCCCAATGTTTCTCATCAAGTGACAAAGGTTTATTTCATTTCCTTAATATTTGCTTTCATAATTTTAGGAGAAATAAATTACACCAATAGATCTGGTTATAAGATCTGAGGGACTAGGTTGGTTGGTGCTAACTATATTACAAAACCTTAAGATAGCCCATGAGATGATCTTGTTTGTTGATTGCTATAGCCTATGAATACATCTACGGTCAAATAACATCACTTGGAAAAGAGAGGTTCTACTTATTGTAGATATTAAACATGTTTTGTGGGATTTTATTTTGAATTATGCTGAAAGATTAAAGTAAACAAATTCTCGCGTAGATTTTTTAGATTTTAAATTTTATGATCGTTAGATCTGAGATTGATGATGACATATTTTGAGTTGTTACTGAATTGGAAATTTAGATGAACATGATCCCTTGCCACTTTGCATTCAAAATGATACACAAATATATTGATTTTTATTTTAAATTTTCACCGTTGATGAAGATCTAGGCTAAAGTATTTTCGAGCTAAATACTTGATTTATTGAATTATATATATGATCAATAGGTTTATGGTTTTCAAAAAAGATCAATAGGTTTCAGATCTAATACATGTTAGTGAATTCTTATGGTAATGAATAAGAAATGAAAGAAGACATGATTTGTGGTCTTTGCATCTAGAACAAACATTTGCGTTATTAAAAATATTACAATTTTTTGTTTGAATTCATGGTTTTATAAAAGATTAAGGCTAATGTTTTTTACTCGAAAATATTTGTTTTTTTTATATTATATGATCAAATTATTTGAGATACACCCGTCAATTGTTATTGTAGTGAATAGTAAACCTAAGAAAACATGATTTATTAGCATTCGGAAAGGTTTACACTAATATCTATCATAATTTAAAATTGTGGATTCATAATCTGATATGCAAGCCTTAAAGTAAAGTAATACACAATATTTTATACCTTTTCTGCAAAGTCCAATATATATAGGGTAAATAGTGTATTTTTCATCAGATTTAAAGAGTTATTTTCTTGGTAAATTTATTGCAATTTAACTGTAAGATATTGATCATGTCTTATAATTCTTTGGATTTGTAGGTTATAAAGGATCATTGTGGCCATTTGGAAAGATGCACAATCTACCATGACTTACTCCAATGTGAAAACGGGATGTTGGAGTTTTGGATTCAATCACTGGTTAATGTGAAACACATCAAGGATCTCACACTTGAAAACTTTTCTCACTCTTGGGAATCAAAATACAAATCCATATGCACATGGGGACACGGAGATGTAACACTGGATTTGCCTCCTAGGTCATTTTCCCATCCAAGCCTCACATCTCTCTCGTTAGGCCAGTACAGCTTAGAAGCTCCACACGCTTTCTACGATTGTTTGAATTTAAAGAATCTCAAACTGATTGGTATCTCTGCTGATATTAAAGTCCTTCATGCAGTCCTTGTGTCTTGCACTTCTCTCGAAGTGCTTGCACTAGAGATCAGTTCCAACTACAAAACTAGTACTCTGAAGATTGAGAACCAGTACCTAAAGTTCTTATATCTATCTTTGTATAAGATAAAAGGCGTTGAAGTGACTTCACCCAGCCTACATATCCTCTCCATTGGTTCTCTCTCATGTGGGATAGAGAACTTGGTCATTGCAAGCCCTAGACTCCATTTCAATCGACACTTTTGGCCTACAACAAAAGTCTTTCCTCACCCTAGCTTTTATATATCATGTCTCGATCAGGTACGTAGATTTTGTATGTTATTGCACTATTTTGATAGATAGAGAAAGAAATGGTATCAATATCTGACATATATGTGAATGCCAGGGGGAAACAATCATTGGACATGAATTAATCATGATGAACGTACCAAATGTTTGTATGAAAATGTATGCATCAATGTCGGTGAGTGTAGACTTAACTAATGCAAAAGAAGTTGAGATGCTCAAACAAGTGTTAGTTGCATGGCCTAGAGAAATGCAAGAAGTTGAGATTTTGTTTAAGGTAATGTTCATCCTTTTTTGTTCATCCTATGTTTCAAATTTGAACATGATCATAGAATTAGCCACAGTATATATATCTAAAGGAGCGACACATGTTTTGTTTTTGCTTATATATAGGGTAACAATGCTGCTAGGAACGAAAGTGAGACTTGCATTGAAAATAAACAAAACACGTTTTGGGAAAATACAAAACCGTTTCCCAACGCTCTATTCCGTGCAAATACTGTATGGTTGTCTAACTTTAGCGGTTCAAATGAAGAGTTTGCGTTGGCCTCGCGTATGATAACGCAAGGGACTGTAGTAAGGTGTATGATGATTAAACCGTCACAACCTAAGAAATTGGAGATCGAAGACACAATAGCCAAGCTAAAGGAGCTTCCAAAAGGTCACGAGAACCTTAGTATCGCGCTGTTCTGATGAGCTTTTGTTTGAATCTAGCCATTGGCTATATTACTAGAGATCCTCTTCAGAGTCTGGTTTCAAGTATTGCTTTTTGCTTTTTTTTTTTTATGTTTCAGATATTTGAGATGTTATTTGAGTTGACTTGAAGTCTATCTGAGTCATTCATTCGTGATAAAATACTTTATTGTAAGGGTAAATTTCTCAAATAATTTTTGTTTGAATTTTTTTCACAAAAATAAATTTTAAAAATTAAAATGACCAAAATAACATTTTTTATTTTGAAAGTTTTCATTTTTTTATTTTTTTAAATTTGAAATCTTACTTCCAAAACCACAATCTTCAACTCTAAACAAAAAAAAAATTAGTTAACCTAAAAGGTATAAATGTATATATACTTATTTTTGATAAAACATTTAAATTTATTTTGGTTATTTCTTTTAAGATCTATATTTATGACAAAAAAAATTTAGTTATATCCTAGAAATTTTTTCTTATTTTTAATATGAAAATATTCATAAATAAATAAAAAATTGGAGTACAGTATAAAAGACTGTCTTGTGCCAATCAATCGTCCCAAAACAAGCATTTTCATATTTCTTTTAATAACAGCACACTAATTTAAAAAGCGTTAATAATCAATGACTTATATCATTTTCCGATATTTTAGCATAATAATTATCACATATGGTGCTGTTTTATTTACAAGCCCTGCACTTCTTGAAAGAGAGTGTATAGAAACAAACATAAATGAAATTAAACGGATAGAAGGGTCACAGATCACACAATACTGTATGTCATCAACATTAAAACCCATCGTTTCATTCTTTTCTTCTTCTCGCTTTACCTAAATACCGGTCGTGGCACATTCTTCATCAACAGACAGCGTTTTAAATAAAACTTAACTTCTTAAGGTCTGAGGAATCAAGAATCATTTCTTGTAACTCACTGGCACATCATCGTCATCATCTTCAAGATCACTGAATGTTACATCTTCATCCTCATCCACAACATGTTTGGTTGCTACGGTGGAGGAGCTAACATGTCCTGCATTATCTTCCTCCTTCAACCAATCATCAACATCATCATCATCATCATCATCATCGACTTGAACGTCAATAACTCTAGGTGAAGATCCAGTGACTAGCTTGTCATGGGATGCTGGTACTGGTTTTTCTTCAATCACAGGCTTGTCAACGACTTGTATCTCTTTGCTCTCAATTGGGTGCTTCTCTGTCTCAACCTCAGATGTCTCACTCGAATTTATTGTTTCGACAGAGATGGTCTTAACTGGTTCTTGTGAAGGAACAGTAGGTTCAGCACTCGCACTAGCAGTTCCTGTATCACCACTACTCTGTGGCACCATTACAGATTTGTTTCTCTTATGCAGCAGTTCATGGGATAATAGTGCTCTTGATTCAAGTACTTTTATTGAAAAGGAAAAAAAACACACAATGATTCATATCAAAAAGGTCGCACTACTCTTCCCAATTATTAGTTGCAAACCTAACTCAAATGCTACTACTATAAAGTTCATTATTAGCCTTAAAAGATCTTCCGTTGATACTTAATCGCCACTAAAAATTAAATTAGCTTCAAAAATTTAAAACAGAGGACAAGATGAATAGGAGAATCAATCTTACCTGAGGAGTAGAGAGAAGCAAGGCATCATGCTTGCTGAACTTAGACCGCCACCAACGCGGGAATGTGGAGGATCCTTAAGGTTAATCCTTACCATTATTTCAATATAATACTAATATTATTGCTAATTACTGTAAGGATTGGTTACGTAAAGAGGGATTTGCGAGCCTGATCCTTGTCTACGTGGCACGCGCGTGTGTAGGGGTTGCGTAGTGAAAAAAAAAGAAGTCATTCTCTTTCTCACCCGAAAAATAACGAGAGCTCTAGAGACGACAGAGGCGATTTCGAGACGAGAAGGAGATTTCGATCCAGGCTTCGATACGAAGGTAAATCAAAGGTTCTTTTGTTGATTTAATGATTTAGACCAGGTTGCATGTTCTTTTCAACTCAATTTAGGGTTCGGTTTTGGGATTTCAATCGATTTGGGATAAGCGGTTTTTAGGGTTTTCAATCGATTTGGGATAACTGATTTTTAGGGTTTTCAATCGATCTGGGACAAGTGTTTTTTAGGTTTTACAGTTTAAAACGATATGGGACAAGTGATTTTTAGGTTTTACGGATTCAAAAGATCTGGGTTTCAAATGATTTTGGGACTTCGAGATTTATGGACTTGTAAGTAGGTAGTGTTTGGAATGATTTGGGGATCTTCTCCTTTGTTCTCAAAACCCGTTCTTGTTTCAATAGATGGCAACGTTAAACAAGTTTTCTTACGGTTTATATGTGTTTTGTTCTATCTATTATGTTGGTCTGTGATTGTTGCTATGTAGCTTAATCATTTGTAATGGTTTGTATAGTAGTTTAACTCGATCCCTCTGTTTTATTTCAGGTGAAAGAATCATGGGACAAGATTATTCCTACACCCAGCCCTCTTCGTCAGACGAGTTTGACATAACCTCGCTTCTTCTAGCAGAAGCTCAATGTTACGCGGATGAGGCAGAGAGTAGCTACAACGGTGCAGTGGAGGTTGAGTACCCACAGCAACCAGAGCTTGATGATGGCATTGCAACAACATGCTATTGTGGTGGTGAGGCAGTCCTTGCAACAGCTTACACTGCTAGATATCTAGGGAGGATGTACTTCATTTTCGAAAATGTTGGAGATGGATACTGCCACGTATGGAAATGGTGGGACGTGGCTATTATAACGGAGATGCGTGAGTTGAGTAGACTAAATAGGCAGCTTAAGGATCACGTTTATGAGAGTGAGGAGAAGCTGGTAAAGGTAGCCAAGACGGTGTGTGAGTTATCTAAGAAGAAGTCAGTGGTAAAAAAAGGTTGTGCCATTGCGGTTTGTGTAATGGTCTGTCTACTAGCATTCGTGGTCATGTTTCTACTGGTGAGTTAAAATTAATTGTGTTATTGTCTTTTACTTTTGATATCTTTAAAAACTTTTGAGCGTTTTGATTTTATTTCAGGAAGAGCTTCAATGGATCAAAACTTCCTAGTCTCTTCTCTGTAGAAAGGTACAAAAGTTATTAATTTTTGCTTTCTAACTTCCTAATCCTTCCGATTTGATTGTTTTTAATGTTTTACAATGTTAGTAATAAGTGTTTATTTGATTTGATTGGTGGTTAAATGCACTCTACCTTCCTAACTGCTCCCATTTCATTAGCCTTTAATTTTCCTTAGTTAGACGTCCCTTACTTAAGACCCTGTGTTGCTAATACAGCGACACAAACCATTCTCTAAACAATGGATAACCAAAGCAGTTTTGTAAACCTTCTGAACAGTCAAGCTTCAGTTGACCTTGAATCTCCCGAACCTGCTTGGTTCGGTAGCCAAGGTCCTGATGAAACTGTTGTAGACACCAGTGTGAAAGAGAGAAGGAAGTGGTCACCAAAAGAGGATAAAATCCTAATAGGTGCGTGGCTCAACACCAGTAAAGATCCGGTGGTGAGCAATGAGCAGAGAGCTGGTGCGTTCTGGAAACGGATTGTAGAGTACTACAATGCAAGCCCTCTGCTCGTTGGCACAACACCTAGAGAGCCTGGACAGTGCAAGCAGAGGTGGGCTCGTATTAACGAGCAAGTACAGAAGTTTGTTGGATGCTATGATGCTGCTCTGAGGGACCTGAAAAGTGGCCAAAGTGATAATGATGTGATGACGACTGCTTTGGATTTCTTCTACAATGACCAGAACATCAAGTTCAGTATGGAACATGCGTGGAGGGAGCATAGACATGATGTCAAATGGTGCGCGACGTATGTGGACAAGGACAATGGTAAGGAGAAGCGCAAACAAGTACCAGAGGTGGAGGAAAGACCAATAGGTGTTAAAGCTGCTAAAGGTAAGAAGAAGAAAGGTGGAAAAGACGAAGAGCTCTCAAAGATTGAAAGACTGCTGCAGACTAAAAAGGAAATCTCTAGACAAAACGTGCTTGAAAGTCTGCTTACAAAGCTCGAGCCACTCTCTGAGGAGGAAGTTGCTCTGAAATTGAAACTAATTTCAGAAATGATGTGATAATTGTTCGTTTGTTAAGCTCTAACTGTTATCTTAATTTATGCTTATGTTTTAAATTTGTCTAACCATAGTTTTTCCTATTTTTCAGGTCAAGTACAAGACCAAGTACAAGACAAAAGATGCTGTCCCATCATTTAGTCTTCACGGGTAGTTTGTTTTTATCTCCTGTTTTAACACGTGAATCTAGTCTTCACGGGTAGTTTGTCTTCACGGGTCCTTTTAGTCTTCACGGGTTTAGTTTGTACTCTTTAGTCTTCACGGTTTTTATCTCATGTTATAAAAGTCTGTTTGTAAACTCGGCTTTTGAGCTATTTCCATTTGCTCTTCTTGTAGTAAAAACTTGTCATAATATTGCTAATTTGAAGTCTCGACTATGTTGTGCTATTTCCTTTGCTCTCCTTAGCGTGGTAAGTTACTGAACTTGTTGTTGTGTTTTTTGCTTGGATTTAAGACTAGCTTATAATAAGCTCTAGGAATCAGAAACTGATGTTGTGCTTTGGTGTTGTTAAGAAAATGTTGTTAAGCTTGGATTTAAGACTCGAAGAAATTGTTGTTCACATTTGGTGTTGTTAAGAAATCGGAAACTTATTGATATACTTGTTGTCTATATACATGTAGGTATTTATGGACTTGTTGTGCTTGTTGTCTATATACATGCTGAGAGAAACTATTGCATAAAATCGGTTTGGTCATTTAACGATTTTATGTCATAAGTATCAATGAAATGGTGATTTAGTTTGAGGTTTGGTCATCAAAAATATCAAATTAATAACATATACTAAAAAAAAAACAGCCAACAATTTTGTTTTTAAAAACAGCCAAGTAATAAGAAAGAGTAGTATCAACTTGGTTTTAATTGTTGTGACCAAAATAAAATAAAAAAATCAATTTTTATGTCCCACAAAATTTTAAAAAGATAAACAATTTGGTTTTAACTATGTTGTGCTACATAATTTTTTTTTTAAAATGCGATTTATATATAAAAGGATAAAAAATTTGGTTTTAACTATGTTGTGCTACATAATTTTCTTAAAAATGCGATTTATATATACCACAAAATTTAAAAAGATAAACAAATTGATTTTAATAACTATGATGTCACCAACATATTTTTTTTTAAAAAACGATTATTATGTTCCACAAAATTTAAAAAAGATAAACAATTTGGTTTTAACAATTGGTTTTAACTATGTTGTGACCAAATTTTGTAATTTTTAATTGTAATTTTTAAGAGTTGTATATAATAACCACCACTTTTATATTAAATTTGGATTTAACTATTTCTTGGTTTTATTTGAAGAGAGGATAGTCAAAATATGGCAGGCGAAGTCGATCGAAGATTATATGTGATACTGGACGAGGCTGTCGATGAATATATTGACAATTCATACAACAACATTGTCGAGAATCGAAGAACTAGACCGAGGACACATCAATATCACGAACGAGACCACGAAACGGGCCACGATCGTCTATGGAAAGACTACTTCAGTGAAGATCCCACATACCCGCCTCATTTATTTAGACGCCATTTTTGCATGAACAAGTCAGTATTCATGCGTATTGTCGATTGCCTCTCTGCAAATGTTCCATTCTTTCAACAGAGAAGAGATGCCGTTGGAAGGTTAGATTTATCTACACTTCAAAAATGTACGGCAGCAATTCGTATGCTTGCTTATGGTTGTGCAGCTGACGCTCTCGACGAATATCTCCGACTTGGTGAAAGCACTGCACTTTCGTGTTTAAGCAATTTCACAGAAGCCATAATACGTTTTTTTGGAGATGAATATCTACGAAAACCTACTCCAGAGGATCTTCAACGACTACTCGATATTGGAGAGATACGCGTAACTGTTAGCTCCTCCACCGTAGGAACCAAATATGCATAAGCACAAAGTAAATCCTCCAGAAGCAATACTCGCTCATGTACACTGGACAAAGCTCAATCCTCAAAGCAGCTAAACCCGTCACAACCCTTTCCACAGCAAGCGCGTGCTCATACTGAGAATCAGTCATCTCAAAATCTACAAAATGAATCAAAATCCAATACAAAACACTTAAAATCTTCCCAAAACCCAAATCACAATCAAAGTACATAATAATCCAAACCACGTGATTTGAACAAACACATAAGTATATACATACTATAGATTCCCAATTCAAGATAATCAATCACTTAATCTATCTATTAGATTCCAATCCACGTAGCCCAGACAAAGATCCTAGTGTATTGAAAATGTCATGTAGAACCGTCTACCGATCAAAGTGTCTGCCTGTCTGGTCAATTCCTTTTGGCTTGGATTTAATTGGGCTTATTATAACAGTTGGATGTTAATGGGCTTTATTATAGTAATTGGGTGTTTTATCATCTGTAGCCTTTTGGCTTTATAAATCAAAAGGACGACATAAAGAAGTACGTTTCCTCACGTGAGAGCTATTCACAGAAGTCTCTCTGACAGAAACGACGTCGCTTAAGCGGTGTTGGTATAAAAGAACTTTCTCCTCCTCTTCTTCTCTTCTTCTCTGTTAAAAGTTTCAATCTTTCGATTCAAAGCTTCGAACTTTCAATAGGGTTCTCTCCCCTTTTCCCCTGTTTCTTCCTCTGTTTCTGCGTGGACAAACAAACCCAGAAAGACAAACAAGCTCATGATTGAGGTCGGTTCTTTTGCTCTCTCTCTGCTATTCAATTTAGAATTCTAATTGAAAACCATTATGAGGTCATCTTCGTTGGGTGTTAAATTCGATTTCTTGTGGTTGCTTTAGATTAATAGCCTTAGCTTGATTTTATTGGTAGATAGGATGAGGATGTAATAAAAAAAAATGACGTCTTGTGAGTAACTAAAAGTGGTTTGTGTAATGCTTGACAGATTTTATATGATTCACTGCTCAGCTGAAGACAATGGTGTTTCTAACCCATAACTTACAGGTATATTTAAACTATACAAGCTTATAAGTCATTAAGTTTTTTTTTCTGTGTTATTGGTCAATGTCCACTTGATATGAACTAGTAGTGGTAGAAAGGTTGTGTGGAAATATTCGACATATAGTCTCAATTTTGCTTCGAGTGATGATATGATAATCTAATGGTGTTTAGTTTCACTGTCCTGACCACACCTTCTGTTTACCACCTCTGGACAGGAATTAAGCTTATACATTGGAAATGGAAACTAGTCAAAGAGATGAGCTTTCTGGCTTCTTAAATGTTCTTCCTCATGTGGATTTTTGTTGTGTTTATGGTTCCACGTTGCACCCTAATAACCAAGATAAGGTATTTATTTCATATATATATATTCTCTCAGAGAGAGTTTCCTGTTTCTGATCACTTTACTGATTAGCCCTCCTTTGATTTTGCAGTCTAAAATGGTGGACTACATCCTTGGCGTCTCTGATCCCATGCAATGGCACTCTGAGGTGAGTGTCTCTCAAGAAATATTGTCCGATTGGAAGCTAATTAAGCTTGCAGATCCTAATATGTGTCTGTCATTGTGTGATCAAGAATCTGAAAATGAATTCAAATCACTATGCTTCATGGATGGTTCACCTTGGTGGAGCCAGGCTGGTATGTTTCTCTCACTACTCACATACTCTAAGTAAACACCTGAACACACACCATTTTCTTTCCTAGAACAGATTACTGGAGTTGCAGATAAAGTAGGGGTTGGAGTTCACTTCAACCCATTTGTCAGTTGGAACGACAGGGTAAGAAGGAACTTTCCAAAACCTAATGAACAATCTAGTTTTGTTAATCCAAGCTTGTGTATTTCTATATTCCATATGTTTACGTTCTGCTCATTTGCAGAAGCTCAAATATGGGGTTGTTCGGATGCATGACCTGATACAGGACATACTGGACTGGAACAGATTCTACTTGAGTGGACGTTTACAAAAACCGGTATGTCAGTTACTTGAGGTGCATGGATTGTGAGATGATATAGGGAAGTAAGTGCCTTTGGGTTTTCAGGTTCATTTGCTTGTTGATAATCTGGACATAGAAGACGTGAATTCTGTTAATAAGAGAGCCGCTGTATCTGCAGCCCTTCTTCTCTTGCCATCAAAATTTACAGAGGTTGAGTTTTTGTTTAGTGCTCAAATGAAGTTTTATGAGACTGTATGTACACTATATAACTCACAGAACTCTTATGCAGGAAGATCTATACGCCAAAATATGCAGCCTTTCTTACATGGGAGACTTGCGAATGCTTTTTGCAGAGGACACTAATAAGGTGAGAGAACTAGTCATGTTATCGAGTACATCACATAGTGAAATATTTTCTCACAACATAGTAATATTACTTTTACTTTTTTTTCGGTTGAAAAGATTTCTGATCCATTGGTTCAATCTCCTTTCTTTTAGGTGAATAAGATTGTGAAGGGGCAGTTTGATCTTTTCAGGTCAATGTATAAGCCTTTTCTTGAAGACTGCGAGACCAAAAACTTGTTGAGGTTCTCATCTGCTCAAGCTAATTTAGTTCAGGTATACACACAGTTCATTGCTATATATACATATGGTTGGCTCAATCTTGAGATTCTTTTCAGTCAATGTTCTGATACTGATCCTTACCAACTTGTGGACAGGACTCTAGCCTTTCAGCATCACGCTCTCTGGTCTCTTCTCTTCCTGCATCAGTAAGAAGCCAAATGGGGAAGTCACTTGGGGAAAAGAAAATCTTGAGTGAGACCGGTATCAACTCTGATTCTCTGCCTCCTCTAGTTATATGTGGATCCTGTAAAAGGGAAATGGAAGGATAATAATTGATGGTGAACTTGTATAGGTAGAGTTTCAGGGGAAATTTGTATAGCTTCAAGAGAAGCAGCAGCGAAATGTATGGAGAAGGTAATGAAGCGAAGGGTAATGGTTTCAAGTGCAAGACAGGCTGTGTCTGGTTTCTTGGCTGCTGGAGTTATTAATGCAACAATGTATCTTTCGCAGAAAATGCGCAAAGGTTGGAATTCTCGATCATGACTTTGCGAAAACTACACACGAATGAGTTTAGATGAACCAAGTTGCCACCAATAGTTGACCTTATTTTCTTCTAAGAACTTTTCTTTTTGTATTGATGCTTATATCCTCCGATATCATAGATGAGAGAACTATAGAAGCATTAGCATCAATCTCCATATCATTTTTACGTTATTACTTGTGACTCACAAAAAAAGAAAATGAAGCTCATATATAACAACAAGTTAGTACGGTTATTTGAAATTTTCTATAAATTTTCGGATATCCAAAGTAAAGCAAATCAAAAATCAGATATCTTTCAACTACAAATTAAATCACAAATACTAAAAATCATAACATTATTTGGTATGTGTCCAACTCTAATTTTACCAGTTATATTTTTTTGCTAAATATCATTGAAAATGATTTTTAGATGTTACAAGATGTGAAAACAAGTTACTTGACCTATATGAAATGGTCATAGCAAGAAAAAAAAAATAGAACACTGGACGGAAATTCAATCAGTATTACATCGGCATCTCAACTTGGTAGGATAAATCTTCATGGTTCCAATACTGGCAAGATTGATTAGGAGTAGATATAAGGTGAGTACTCGCTATTTTAGGTGTACTCGATACTTGACTTCTCTTCCACGAATAATATAAATTTCGACTTGATACTTGACTTGTAAAATGAAGAAGATACAATGAGTACTTGTGAATACTTGTAAAAAATGAGTGATTTGCAAGTTATTTGCCCCGTTATATTACTTGATACTTGTAAGTACTTGTAAATTATTTTTGAGTATTTTTGAGTATTTAAAAATTACATATTAAATATTACTATAGTATATATGGATATAAAATTTGTTTTGTTTGCTTTACTAAATAGAACAATTACTTTAGACGAATTATTTTTATATATTATAAATAAAATGAATAAAGAAACATGAATGTTTTGTTTACAAATATTTAAATTCTTTTACTTAATATTTGACTTGACGATGACAAATACTTGAAAAATTAAAGTAAAGACAAGTATTATAATATATTTGTAGAATGGGTTAAAATTTTAGAAGGTGCAGCTTCTTACAGAGTCAGGTTAGCTTCTTCATTTTAGAAAGTGCAGCTTCTTAAAGTATATCACATACAATTTCTTTTTATCAACAGTGACACTGAGGGAGAAAGTCTTGTTGATCTGTTGAAGTAACAACTAGAATACGACATGAAATGTCTAAAGGAATTAAGCAAAGAGTTAGAAGAAGAAAGAAACGCGTCAGCCATTGCTACAAACGAAGCAATGGCAATGATCACAAGGTTACAGGAAGAGAAAGCAGCTCTCCAATGGAAGCGTTACAGTACCTGAGGATAATGGATGAGCAAGCCGAGCATGATGTTGATGCGCTTGAGAGAGCAAACGATGTTTTGGCTGGTAGGGAAAAGGAGATACAAGATCTTGAGATGGAGTTGGAGTACTATAGAGTGAAGTATCCAGATGAGTCGAGAGAAGAGATCCTCGCTAGCATGGGAGTTCTTGAGGGTTTAGAAACTAGCGGAAACTTAGAAACTGATGAGACCAGTGAGAACGTTCCAGCAGAATAATCTGCAGAGGCATCCATTGCAGAAGCATATGGTGAAGTAAGCAGTTCCCAACATGGAAAGTCATTCTTTCAAGAACACAGGAAGTGGATTGTCTACCTTAGAGAAACATTTAGAGACACTAAGGGAGAGAAAGATAAAATTTCAATATATAGTCGTATTTCTTGAGAAGAATTATCCATGTCAAGGTTTTGGTTAGTGCTAACTATATTACAAAACCTTAATATAACCCATGAGATGATCTTGTTTGTTCATTGCTATAACAGAAGCAACTTTCTTTTGCTTGACAATCATCGCAATCACTCTATCTAAGACACTTCCTCACAACCAGAAGCTTCATTTAATGGAGGACAATATGACTGTTGCCCCACTAGATGGTTGCCCACGAATTCGTGGATATAAATATTGTATGAAAATATATACTATATATACATTGTCATAAACATTGAATAATAATTAAAAGCCTTAAAAATATTATGTTTAACTTCAAATAGTTTGACAACCAATCGTAAAGTTTCCATAACTTTAATGTGAAAATAACTGATAAATATATAGTAATAACAAATGCTTGTGGAATTATATATGTAATTATGA